TTCCGTAGTGATACTGCCTCGGAAACCCAAGGAGGGGTCGCTATGAGTCGGGGCCGACTCGACGGCACATAACAACAACAACAACAACATACGCAGATGGTGGCGTAGTGCCTAAGGCATTTGACTGCTAACCAGAAGACTAGCGGTTCACACCCAACTAGCCACTCCTTGGAAGGAAGGTTGGGCAATCTACTTCCATAGTGTTATCACTTCAGAAATGCAAGGAGAGGTCACTATGAGTTGGATCCGACTCCATGGCAGTGAGTTATATGCAGATGATGCAGATCATGAGCTGGCACAGAACTGGGCAGTGTTTCATTATGCTCTGCCAAATAGGGTCGCTATGGGTTGGAGATGACTCAACAGCACCTAACAACAACAACATCCTATTAAACCACCCTATCTCTATAATTCTATTAAATCCCATGGAAAAAAGTTCTCCACATTCAACTCAGTGCCTCATTTCTTCAATAGTAACTAAATTCTTAACCGTTGGCAATCTAAGATTAGTATTTATATCCAACAGCAATAAAAACTAACATGTAAAAGACTTCTTCAGTCTGCAAACTGCCCTCTCATACATGATTTCACAAATACTTCTCTTGAAGAAAATCAATGGTTCAATATTTATCAAATTAAATCCTCAGTTCTCATCCATTCTGACCTCTCCATAACACACAAAATAATTATTTGAAATGTTCTTCCTCTGGCTTCTATGGCATAACCATATCTTGATTTTGATTTTCCCCTTCTTTTTCACATCTACTTCTTTTTCTAGATTCTCTTCCTATAGTGTAAATATGGCACTTATTTATTTAACAATAAGAATGTATTGAGTTCCTATTATATGTAAAGCACAGTGCTGCATATTTTGGAGGAGGCAAAGTTGAAAGATAAAATAGTCTCTGACCTTAAAAAGTTTATAATCTAATAGTAAGAGACTGAACAAATTAGAAATGATACATCATAAGAGAAGTGAAGTTCTGACCTTAGCTTTCATCTCTCTTCCCACTGATGACCTTAGACATACTCTCATGCAACTCCCATCTCTCAGTAATTAACTGCCAACATCACTAACTTTGATTTCTTAACCAAATTCTGTTCCCACATTTCCTAATACCTATTGGCCACTGCCTCCAGAATGTCTTATCAGACTAAATGCATCTAAGACTCAGACTAAATGCATCAAAACCTGATTTTATCATCTGTGTTTCCTACCTTAACCCTGGTTTCTCATCCCCAAACCTATCAGAAGACAAAAATATCATCAGTTCTGACAAAAATAAAATGTCTGAAAATGTAGGGAAGACATTAATATATCCTGCTGATACGCTGAATATAAACAGAGCAGTGCTGAGCTGGGTAGAATAACATTAATCTTTATCCTTAAATTATTTTTATAAAATCCTCTATGAAGAGCCAGGTTCGAGACATACAAGTTTATATCTCAAATTCTGACAGAGCAGCACCTTATCTGTATTAGGCCCTCAATAAGTGACTGTTGATGAATGAATGACTGTTCCAAGTACCATACATACTTGTCAGCAAGTATCATACACTGACTCAAAGCAAAGCAACAAAGAAATGCTAAGAAGCATTCATTCAGGAAACTTAATAGTGAGCAAGAAATAATTGCTTATAAATACCACATCACAGAATTAATGACATTATATAAAATCTTAAAAGTCATTTAGTCCATCATTTCTTACTGCAAATTAGAGGACGAGTGCCAGATATGTCAGCAGAAAATGAGGAAAAACAAGCAATATAGGAAGTTTTTTCTAAAGCTAAATGCATTCAATTTGAAAAATTCTTCTTTCACTTTATGTCCTTCCTACTTTTTAATATTAACATGTCCTTTCTTTTACATAAAATGATGCTACTATGGTCATGATAGATGGGAGAGTTTTAATTTTTGTTTTGATTTTTAAAAATGTCCTTACTTAGTAAAATAAGAAGCCAATGTATATAGGTTCCATGTTTTTTGTTTAATTGCCTCATAAGTAACAGAAAGATAAACTCTCAGCTATCATGAAGAAAACTCAAATTACATCATACATTCAGATGGAAAATTTACAATGCTTCTTATATCATACAAAAATTAATTTATTTCTTTTCTAGGGGAACTCATTTGAAGTAGAGAAAGAAAACCACCCTGCTTAAAATTAAGACAAACTAAAACCAGGAATCTACTATACATGAAGCATTAAGCAATTTAAAGTTAAATTTAATATGGGAAATATTAAAATGCCTTTGAAAGGATTATGACCAAGACATATGGCACAATATTTTATTTCCTGTTAAAACTAAACCCACTGCTGTTGATCCAATTCCAAGTCATAGCAACTCTGGTAGCATAGTGCCTAAGGCACTTGCCTGCTAACCAGAAGGCTGACGGTTCAAATCTACCAGCCACTTTTCGGAAGGAAAGTTGGGCAATCCTACTTCTTTAGTGATACCACTTTGGAAACCCAAGAAGGGTGTCGCTATGAGTTGGGGCCGACTCAATGGTACATAACAACAACAACAACAACAAGAAAGAGTAAAACTGCCCCATAGGGTTTCCAAGACTTTAAGTTGTTACAGAAGCAGGCTGCTGCATCTTTCTCCTGTGAAGCAGCTGGTAGGTTTGAACTGTCAACCTGTCGATTAGCAGCCCAGCACTTTAACCACTGCAGTATCTCCTGTTATTGTTGTTGTTGTTATGTGCCATCGAATTGGACCTGACTCGTAGCAATCCCTCCTTGGGTTTCCGAAGCAGTATCACAACAGAAGTAGTGTATCTCCTGTTAGTGAACACTAACACCAGTTTGAAATGAGAGTCTGTCTTCTCCAGCCAACTTCAGGTTCGTTTCTCCTGTTTATCTACAACAAGCTCTCTACATGATGACATCTCCTCCAAATTAAACCAAAAACCAAACTCACTGCCATCAAGTCAGATCTGATTCATAGCGACCCCTCCTTGGGTTTCCAAGGTGGTATCACTACGTAAGTAGATTGCCCCATCTTCCTTCCAACGAGTGGCTGGCGGGTTTGAACCACCAGCCTTTTGGTTTGCAGTTAAGTGCCTTAGGCACTATGCTACCAGAGCTCCTATATCTCCTCCATGGTGATTAAAATGAAAGCGCCCCTTAACTGTTGTCAGCAACAGAAGGAAGATCTGAAGCAGTAAACTGGTAGGGGAATTCTACCAACACTAGAATTGACACTAAAATGGTTTAAACTCATCCAAAAGAAAAAGAAGGGAAGAATATTCCCTAATTCTTTCTATGAAGCAAATATAACCCTGATACCAAACCACACAAAGATATCAAACCATCCATGGCCTAACAATTGGTCTCTATTAGCATGGAACAACAGAGGGAGAAAGAGGACTCAGGAATGTGTGGAGCCTATGGAATGTGTGGAGCCTATGGAATGTGTGGAGCCTATGGAATGTGTGGCTAATTGCCTCCGTATGCAAATGCCTCCTTAGCCAGGAGACCAGGCTAACTGGGTGGTGCCCATCTACCATTATTGAACATTTTGATCAAAGATTCCACAGAAGAATCTTGATCAAAAGGGAAAAAATACAGAATTTCAATTTCTCCTGGACTTCAGACTTCCTGAAGCCATAAAGACTGGCTGAACCCCTGAAATACCTTTCTGAGGTAATCTTTAAACCTTAACTCAAAAATATGTCCTGACGTCTTCTTAAAACCAAACAAAATTTTAGCTTAACTTGTAAAATATGTTTGCCTTAAACATCATGCTCTTTAAAAAACTATCTATACAAGATCAACTAACTCAAAAGATTACACAGGAACCTTTGGAGGCAGTGAGTTTATGTCAATGGGAGAGGAACAAATCAGAAAAGCAGGGTGAGAATGGTTACACAATTCAGAGAATGTAATCAATGTCACTAAATGGTACATGTGGAAACTGTTGAACTGGTCTGCGTTTGCTGTATATATTGTGTATTTTTTGTTGTGTATATGCTCTAAAACAACCACAAAATAAAATTAAATTTTATTGTATTGTATTTAAAAAAAAAAACCACACTGGGCCTGACCATTCTCAACATGCTATTAGAATAACCAAGAAGGTATCACAGCATCAAGATCCTACACAGATATCCCCAGCAAGTAATCTCTCCTCTACAAAAGAAAATTAGATTCCTTAGGTAGGTGAGTCAGCCAACAGCCTTCCAAAAAGTGTTCTCTCTGAACAGATGTTTTTACCTTATCTACAGCAGATACTTTAGCTCCTTTATCCAGCAGCAGCTCTACTACTTCAATATTTCTCATCTTGGTAGCCTTTATAAGTGGTGTCTCACCATCCTATGGGCAAAAGTAAGAAAGTTTATGAGATTAATAGTTTTATTTCATATAAATGTGCATGTAAAGAATTTAAATATCTGACTCTAGAAACAGTTCATATTTAAACATGTTCTCGATAAAAATGTTTAAAAACTAAAAAGTGCTTTTCCTTTCAAAATCAATTATTTGTATCAAAATAATTTTATATCACTCAACCAAGGATGGGATGTGCTCAATCAATTAATAAACCATAGCTGAGAACTGTGACCCTACAACCTTACTCTTATTGCCATTCGTCAGGCACCATTACTAATTTCTGTGATTCTGAGGCAGCATCTTCAGAGCTCACTTCTCATTCTCACTATCTCCCCACCAACCAATTACACAGTTAAGCTTATAAATGTCCTGGCAAACCAGTGTCTAAATTCATTCAGAAATTTATAGCAACATCACTTCAGTTCTCTGTGACCTATGTACAAAATGGGAAATAATTTGATACAAGGACTACGCCTTTGAAAAACCTCCAAAGAGTTCACTATTGCTTTCAAAAATCAAATTAAGAGAAACAGGATGACATCACAGTTCAGCATTGAATTAGGAAAGGAAGAAACATGGTCAGAAGCAACAAGTGGTCTCAGTAGCTGACACATAGAAAAACAAAGATTTTTCACAGCAGCAAAAAAGATTATCAAGGAACCACTTTGCAAACCAGATGCCTTCCCGGGAAATTTTCCGCCACAGGGTACTGGAATCATTGGTTTAGAAATATGTTGGTCCAGATCTCTAGCAGATTAAATAGGACTGTCTTATGGGTGAGTTCATAATTTTAATTCATTAAGCATTCCTGCAATTGCAACCCAGAATTCAACATGAGAAACTATTACACATAAGGTTAAAGTGTTAAATAGTTTTCTATTTCTCACACGATTTGAGTAAAATAGGCCACAGTGGGTTTTTTGAGAATTAACAACCACTCACAACAGTCTTCTAGAAGGAAATGTGCTCTGCAGTGCAAACAACAGAAGCATAAAAGAATTTTGGGAAATTATCTGTTCACAATTTATGAATAGCTGACATTGTACTTTCTGAAAAAAGATTTAAATGAAGTAACAAATTACACACTCTATTTTGCTGTGAATATACAATTCTTTGAAAGGATACAAAGTTTGTTGTTGTTAGATACCAATGAGTCAGCCTAACTTACCCCTTAATAAAAAATGTTCCCAATCAAAGCAATTTAAGTCTAATATCAAACAATACTAATCATCACAGATTAAACTGTGCCCCCCCCCGCATATGCATCACCTTGTCTGGGCTATGATTCTCAGTGGTGTGGCAGCTATGTAATGATGTAATTTGGCAATTATGTATGATGTAATCATCCCCCATGATGTGAACTGATGTGATCAGCTGATCAGTGGTAAGCCCATTAATTAGGGTGGGATGCACGCCTTAGGAGCTCTGATGGGGTAGTGCCTAAAGCATCTGACTGCTTACCAGAAGGCTGGCAGTTCAAACCCACCAGCCACTCCTCAGAAGGAAGATTAGGCAATCTACTTCTATAGTGACACCACCTCGGAAACCTAAGGAGGGGTCGCTATGAGTCAGGTCCAACTCGATGGCAGTGATTTTTTTTGTCGTTGTTGGTTTGCAATACCCTTACTCAGGTCAGAGCCCTGATCCTATGTAAGAGTTTTCCTGGGAGGTGGCCTGTCTCACTTTTTATCTTATAAGAAATGAAAGGAAGAGAGAAGCAAGAAGAGAAGAGGGGATCTGACTACAAACAAGAAAGAAGAGCTGAGAGTGGAGTATGTCCTTTGAGCCCAGGGTCTCTGCATAAAGAAACTCCAAGATCCAGGGAAGCTTGATGCCAAGACACATGGAGATCTCCAAGAAATGCCTGGCCCATAGATGTTGAAAGGAGACAAGGACCTTCCCCAAGAGCCTATAGAGACAAAGAAAGCCTTCCCCTAGTGCTGGGACCCTTAATTTGTACTTCTAGCCTCCTAAACTATGAGAGAATAAATTTGTTTATTAAAGCCATCCACTTGTGGTATTTCTGTTATAGCAGCACTACAGAACTAAGACACTAATATTCAAATGTTAAGTATTGTAACAGTATAGAAATATCATTTTTACCTTTGTGCATATTTCAGTATCCGGATTGCACTGTAAGATATCTCTCACCATTGTTGCATTTCCTTTCTCAACAGCCCAATACAAAGCAGTTTTATTGTCCTATAAAATAAAAAACATATTGTTATGAACCAAATTGTGTTTCAAAAAAAATGTGTTATAAATCTTAACCCCTATACCTATGGTTATAATCCAATTTGTGAACAGATTTTCTTTGTTGTGTTAATGAGACAGTATTAGTTTCATTAATCCCTTTAGAGATATAAAAGGAGCAGATTAAGCAGGAAAAAGAGAAGCAGAGATGGGGGAAGACAGATGCCATTCCTCATGAAGATCACCAAGCAGCCAAGGAACAGAAGTTCAAAAGGCAAGGACTTTGCCCCACAACTGACAGAGAAAGCCTTCCCCTAGAGCTAATGCCCTAAATTTGGACTTACACTCCCCACTGTGAGAAAATAAATTTCTCTTCATTACAGCCACCCACTTTTGGTATTTTCCTTATTGCAGCACAAAATAACAAAGATACCTATCAACAAACACTTCATATAAGATATGATATTAAAAACTACTATTTGTTAATGTAAAATATCATTATTAACATTTCTACCAGGAAACATTAACAAATCTTACCAAAAGTTGGCAACATGGTGAGAAATAATAATAATTCTTATTCTATCTTGGATTTGAGAAATTCTTTATGAAAGAAGTCTAGGAAAACTTAACATTACTTGACTTTTAAAATACCACACAATGACCTATACAACTATGAGAGCAGAAGAACTAAATGGTGCCCGGCTACCACTGTCATCCACTTGGAAGGGAATGTAGGAAATCCTGGACAGAGAGGGAGAACAATGTGGAACAAAACTCAAAATCATTTGGAGGAAAAAAAAAAAAAAAGACGGTTGGGACCAGGTTTGTTGGTCTCATGGAGCCTGGTGGAACCACTGAGACTATGGCCCCTAGCTGCCCTTCAGGTCTGGAATTGAACCCACACCTGTGGTTTCCAGCCAAACAAAGTACAGTCATGTGAGTTAAACATTTACCTCAAGTAGGCACATGCCCTGGAGAGAACAATCATGGGAGAAGGAAGGGCTGCTTATGCACAGGGAGACAGCTCAGGGTGCAGAAGAGTATGGAGGGATGGACACTGGGAAGAGGTAACTATGGGGAAGAAGTGGGAGGGGATCTGTTGCATTGTAAATTTTGGTCAATGACATGAGACAAAGTATATGTGAACTGCTGTATGAAAAGTGAATTTACTCTGTAAATCTTCACCCAAATCAAAATAAAATTAAAAAAAAAAAAAAACACCACACAATGAAGTATGCATTCTGTAGTGCGATCATATTTCAGAAAAAGATACTAGGTTGGAAGTCATCAATACCTGAGCTCTGAAACGTTTGACAAGTCACTTAATAATTCTGACCCTTGGCTTTTCATCTGTAATATGATATAATATACCTGCCCAACTTTTTCCAAAGATAATGCATGAGAATATATTACATAACCAAAGGGCATTATAATCTTCATCATTTTTAGCATTCTTAACTCTCATCCTCCCCACACCCATATACCTGGTCTTTTTTTTTGTGATTTCAGTGCAAATTTACAAATCAGATTCATTTTATTGTCAACAGTTCATGTACATTTCATTTCATAGCCCCGATTACCATTCCCAACCATAAAAAGCTCTCCTCCCCTCTCCTCCCTATGACTACCCCTTCCCTGTGCTCTTTTTATCTATGTATTCTTATCTGTCCAGCTTTCCCTCTATGTGAATGCTGCCCCTGGTATCTCATGGCTGACGGATCTAAGCAGTGCATCTCCCTGAGGTAAGTGTTCTGCTCATAGGTCTTTCTACTGTTGGGCTGAGAGCCAATCCATGGAAGTGAGTCCACTTCCAGGCCATAGAATGACCCAGGGCCATAGTCTCAGGGTTCCACCAGCCTGTATCTGACTAGTAATTCTGGTTATTTTTGTGTTTTTCAATTTTGTTCCACAGTTTTCCTCCCACTCTATCCAGGTGCTCCAATTCTTATCCGTTTCTAAGTGGTTGGCATTGGTAGCCAAGTACCATCTAATTCTTTCAGTCTCAGGGTAATGAAAGCTGAGGTCCTCGTGGTCCATCATATCTTTGGAAAAACTGTTTCCAAATGACTTTGAATTTTCCACTCTTCTTTGCTCCAAACAAGAGAAGATCAATAGTTTCATCTTAGATGGCTGCTCAAAAGCTTTTGAGACTCCAGTCGCTACACACCAAAGTAGGATGCAGAACAAGATTTTTATGTATTATATTGTGCCAACTCAGCATGATGTCCCCCAAGACTATGGTCACAAGCCCACAGGCCCAGTGATTCTCTCCCTCAAGGTGTTTGATTGCCTCTGAGAAGCTACTCCAACCTTGTCCTCTGTTAATTCTGTGATGTATGTGGATAATTTTGTAGCACAAGAATATATGTAAGACTATCTTCAGCTAAATCTATCCTTGGTCTTGGATATACTCCTATTCACCTACCCCTACCTGATCTGCTCCCTGTCTATGCATTTACACATAACCTAGTGTTTGCTGCTATTGGTAATGCAGTATTGTGCATATAGTAGTATTTGTCTCTTGTCTATATCTTTTTTGCACATTTCTGTGTCCTTCCCTTTCCCCAGTGTGACTGTGCTGGTCACAGACTCTTTCCATACTGCCTCTCCTTTCACCCAAATCAACTTGTGACCACCAACTAATTCAAAATTTTCCCTCTTCTTCCCGCCCATTCCCAGTAACCAACAAAGTGAATTTCCTTCCTTGCCTAAACCTTTCCTTGATATCTTACAATAATGGACTCATACAATATTTGTCCTATGACTGACTTATTTCACTAAGCATAATGTCCTCCAAAGTTGTGAGGTGAATCTGTGGATTCTTCATTACTCTTTAATGTTGCATAGTATTCCACTGTGTGAATGTACCAGTTTGCTTATACATTCATCTACTGATGGGCAATTAGGTTGTTCCCATCTTTTTGCTATAGTGAATTTTGCTGTGACAAACATGGGTATGCGTATGTCTATTCCAGTCCTGGATCTGAACACTTTAGGATATATTCCTAGTAATAGAATTGTTAGATCAAATGGTATTTCTATTTTCAATTTTTTAAGGAAACGTTTATCATTTTCCCCAGTGGTTGTACCATTTTACAGTCCTACCAGCAGTGAATAAGAGTTCCAATCTCTCCACACCATCACCACATTTGTTATTTCCTATCTTGTTGAACTTTGGTATTATTGCTGGGGTGAGATAATATCTTACTGTTGTTTTAATTTGCATCTCTCTAATGGCTAATGATCATGAGAATTTCCTCATGTGTTTGTTTGCCACCTGTATATATTCTTTAGTGAAGTGTTAGGTCATGTTCTTTGACCATTTTTGAACTGGATTGCTTGTCTTTTTGGTATTGAGGTGTTGAAGTTTTCTATAAATTATAAAGGAAAGCCCCTTGTCAGATAAGCCAGAGCCAGATATTCTCCCCCAATCTACAGGTTTTCTTTTTACTCTTTTGGAGGAGTCTTTCAATAGACATAAGAATTTAATTTTTAAAAGGCCCCAGTCACCTAGTTTCTCTTCTGCTATTTGTGCATTTTGGGTTATGCTTGATAATTTATTTATGCCCTAGATTTGCCTCTATTTTATCTTTGATGAACTTTATGGTTGAGGGTTTTACATTTAAGGCTTTGATCCAACTTGAGTTCGTTTTCTTGTATGGGGCAAGATTTGTGTCTTGTTTTATTTTTCTGTAAGTAGATAGCCAATTCTGCCAGCACTATTTGTTAAAGATGCTATTTCTCCCCCATATAGAGGGTTTTGGCCTTTTGTCAAAGATCAGCCGTCCATAAATGGATGGGTCTACCTCTAGGTTTTTTATTCTGTTCCACTGGTCTATTTGTCTATTATCAGACCAATACCATGCTGTTTTGACTACTGTGGTTATATAGTAGGTTTTGAGATCACGGAGTGTGAGACCTCCTACTTTGTTTTTCTTCTTCAGCAATACTTTGATTATCCAAGTCTCTTTCATTTCCATATGAACTTAGTAATTGGTTTTTCCATGTCCTTAAAAAATGCTGATGATTGGGGTAAACTATCAATGTCATGAGACAACGCATGTGTGAACTGCTGTATGGAAAGTGAATCTGCTCTGTAAACTTCCACTCAAATCACAGTAAAAAATAAATTAAAAAGGAAAAAAATTAATGCATTAATAGAATACTTAATTAAAAACTTTCCACAAAGAATATTCCAGCCTCAATGGCTTTACGAGTGAATTCTTCCAAATATTTAAAGACGGAATAACACCAATTTCACAAAAATTCTTTCCAGATAATAGAAAAGCAAGGGAAGCTTCCTATCCTGCTCTTTAAGGCTGGTAAAACCTGATTAAAAAAGTTTATGAGAGGACTTCCGGTAAGATGGAGGAATAGACAGACAAGCGACACAGACTGTCTTCAACAAAGAAAAGAAAAACCAATTGACAGAGATACAGAAGATAATCTTGGAACCCTGAGCTTTGAAAGAACTATACAGAAGTGGATTAGGCACCAACTAGTGGAAAACCCTGAACGAAAACAGGACCTAAGAACAGGCTCTGTTTGCCAGGGTCAACAAGGACATATGAGAGGCTGGCAAAGGAAAGGAGACAGGTGGTGAGTATACAAGTGCGGTCAACTAGTGAATAGAGGAGTACAGCACAGTACCCTGCCTGTGTACATAACATACAAACAAAACAAAGAAAACGAAAATTGTGGGCAAGTCACTCCAACATATAATCACCAATTAAATATAAACACAAAAATGTCACAATGCCTCGGAGACAACAGAGCATCACACTCCACAAAAGAAGCAAGATAAAACAGGAGAAACAAGGGACCAGGACACAGACCCAAAACACAT